GGAGGAATCTGAATTTGAAGTGGGCTCAGAGCCATCACTTGTCAGGATTTTCAGGTGTATCTTTCTTGCACATAACCACAACTATACTCAGTCATGGCCATGCTGATATCAATATAATCCAAGACTAATTCCTTTTGCAGAAGAATCTCCTTAGAAATTCAGACAAATATTTTAACATGTATTATTTTGTGTTACAGGAAGAAGAAAAAATATCTGGGTCTTTAATTAGGACTGCTCATACTAGAAAATTATAACCTCCATGATATTTCCAAATCCTTCAATTATTCATTTGCATTTTCTTTTATTCTTTCTTTTTATATTTATTTGCAGATTTCTATTAATATTTAATAAACATTTTAAAAAGAGTGCTAATACCCCAGATAAATGCTCTTTCATGATTAGGTTCACTGGATAACTTTGGGACCTAGCCTACCACATAGAGATAAAATGAGTGTAGGAGAGTTATGTATTTCAGCATAGAATTTAAAAAAAATGTAAATATAAGTGTAAATAAAAATATAAATGATCTTTGAAGATTAAAAGAATTCAGATAATTTCACAGATTCCTAAACAAATAAGAAGAGCCTACATATTTAACAGCAGTTCTAGTACCTGAGAATGATAATCTTCTGATATAATTTATTTAAATTTCCCAAATCCTGAACAGACCACCATACTGCTGCTGCCCAATAAGAAATTGCTAAGAGCACAATGAATCATGGCATGAAAGTGAAATCACAGAATTTTACCTGGAGATTTACAGTTTTGAAGTTCTTTATAGCGCTTTCATAGACAAATATGTCTTTTACCTGATTTTGCTCTGCTAAGAAGTATAGGATTTGCTAAACTCCTTCAGTCTGGCAACACAAAATCCACCATTGTTTAGACATTATAAATCTTAAAAAAAATAAAGTCTCATTGATCTAGAGATTCTGAAGAATTCATGAACCATGAATGAATGGAAATAATGATACTATAACTTGCAGCAGAGTAACCTTAAATTCCCTGCCCTATGGTTAACCGCAGGTGGGTGGATGGGAAATAAAGGTAGAGCAATGACATGTGCAAAATAAATGCAAATAGATTTCTCAGGGTTCTGAGTTCCTAATTACCTATTTATCTAATATTGACAAGTCAATTTCCAGTGTTGTTTACTCCAGCCGAGCTCATAGTCAAGCAACAGTTTTTGAAAGAACATATAGTGCGGTAACACTACACATTTGCAAATCAGATTAGATATTTGGAAAAATACCATTTTCTATTTTTTTTAAAAAATCATTTGGCAAACCAGCCCTGCCTTATAGTTGGGGCTGGCAGATCATAGTCAGAGAACAAGTGTTAAGCACTACTTTATTTATACAGTATATTTTATCCTGCCTCCGAGACCTGCCCTCGTAAAATCACATACTAGTAATAAAGGTTGTTCAAGCACAAGCTTATCTAAATATACAAAAGCCACATGTAATATAAAACTGTGGAAATCAAGCCAAGTTTTATATTGTTGGAATTCAAAGTCACGCATAAATCATGAATGCAAAGAAATTCATTTTTATAGCTTTTTGAAAGGCTTGCAGTGAATCTGAAATGTAGATTCACTAAGTAGGAAGGCTGTTCTGCAATTCCAAGTCTACCATTGAGAAAGTTTATGTTTAACTATCCAGTTGTGCTAATTGGTGAGCACATGACCAGGGATCCTGACAGTGATCTGGAGCATGTAGGTAGAATCTTATGGGTGAAGTGAGTCATCAAGGTCTTTAGAAATAGATTTAGACCAGTCAAGATTTTAAAGGTAATAGCCAGCATTTTGAAATTCATTTGAGGCAATGAAGTTGATGATTTTGGGGTTTGCTGGTCCCCTTGTCTTCACTTTATCGCACCAATATCTGGGAAAATATGGGATTTTTGTTTGTTTGGGCTTTTTTGCTGTTGCAAATACAGGAATAGATCCAATCTGGGTCAGTCACTGGGACCAGAGATTTTGTCTTTCAAGCTTTCAGATTCATGCTGGAGCCCATCCTCAGGGTATTTCTCTGTGGAGAAATCATTGTCTCCAGCATGAGTCTGACAGCTCAGAAGATAAAATCTCCGGTTCTGGTGACCGACCCAGATTGGATCATGTAACATTACTTGGGAAACATATATTCACCTTCATTCTTGACAGGAAGATGTGGAACAGCAGACCTTAAATGGTACCCTCCAGATGTGTTGATTTCAATAAAGGGTAATCTAACAAGAAGATGTCTATGTCTAGAAAACATGATCTTCTTTCTTTATTGCTTCTTTAAAAAAAACTATTTTTTTGGCTGACATAATGAGCAAACTAGAACTAGTTTGTTTGATTTTTTTGTGCAAAGTTTGCTTGGTTATTATGGCTCAACTATGGCTAATAGATTTTCAAACAGCCACTAAAATTCCATCTCTCTCTCTGTGTGTCATCTACCTGCCTAACTCCCCACTACCCAGTCTGACAGATGACCCATGTCAAGGAAGGCAGCTGCACTCACAAGTAAACTGCTAAATTACATAAGGAATTTCAAAGGGATTCAAAAGTGGCTGGATACATTTTAATAGAGGATTGTGACTGAATCATAGCTGTGTAAATACTACTGAATATCCACTATTTCAAAATCACCTTCTCCAGACAGGTGGCCTCCCAATTCTGGAAATTATACTTGGAACATTTCTAGAGGATATATTCACAGGGACAAAGAAATATACTCCATGAGAAAATGTCCTGAAACAGCAAGATGCCAAGGGAATGGTCTGTACTGTATAATTGGATCATTTTATAAAAGTGAACAGTTTTAATGTCACATGCATAACACCAGTAGCAATAGGTTCCATAAAGCCAGAATAGTTTATCCTTCTGAAAACAGAAAATATTTATTCTGTAGGTACTCAGATAACGATCAAAATCAAACAGCATGGATGCCATTTCTGTACTTCCTTATTGGATCTAACATGTAACTCCACAGTCTGAGAAGAAAACCATGCTTTAAGTCTAAGTAAATAGCTAGTATGGATGACTTTTAAATCTTTCATTGAACACGTTGAACATCTTGAAATTCTGGGAGTTATAATTCAGCAGCATCTAGAGTGCCAATTCCGCCCGTCCCACTTTTGATTTACAAGATACACACATAATTAAGCTCCATTGATTTATTATGGAACTAGCCTGCTTGTAAACCTGATCAGGATTGTAGCCCTAGAATAAATTGAATACACAATCATACAGCAAAATAAAACAAAGCAAAACAAAACAGACACTCATAGTTTAAAATATGTATGACACCATTATTGTGTAATTCACCCTACAAATGTGATAACATTGCAAAAAGCTGCTAATTCTTGAATGAAAGGTGCAATCCCAATAAATTGAATATCTAGGCTAGAACTGGGTGTAAAAAAATAACAGACTCCATAAGTTGATAGAAGTTGCGTTGTCATTTTGACAAGTTATATTATATAACTTTCTCTTTCTGGGTGCTGCATTTTAAAGATAATTATATATTCTGTGCAAATAGTTAAGAATCTAAGCTAAAAGTTGTAACTTCTGAAGTACGGAATTATTTTAAATATGTTAAGTATTTAACAAGTTGTATTTTCAAGTATTTTCCAAATTGTGTCAATCTGTTTCAAGTGTACAACTGTATAAAACAAAATGAAGTTCCTCAATATATGGTAATTTTATATTTTTCCTGACCATTTAAAATATTTGGTAGATCCTCCATTTGCAAATTATGTTCAATTCCAAGAAATAATTGCTGAGTAATCACACAAAAATTTGTTGGTTATATACTGACATGTGCCTAGTTTTATTAGTGGTGCAGCTACAATAGCCTTCCTGAAACCACAGCCTTCCAGATGAACTGGAACCAACATCCAGACCTTCAGGCCACAATGACTACAAGACATATTTAGAAGGCTCCAATTTTAGCATGATTTAACATCATACAGCTGATTGGCATCCAAGAACTACCAGTATTGCCAGTTGAGAGGTTAGGGAATTAATAAACTTCCAAGCCAGGAGTGGACAACAGTGGTTATAGTTGCATCCATTGGGCTATAAGAATCTGTTTTCTACAGAAAGATGTAATTTGATTTGCTTCATTGTAACTGTGTCAGAAATCTCTTTAAAACCTGGCCAGTGAATATAGTTTTTTTGTGTTTACCTTGAAGGTCCATTTCAAATCAGTTGCTGGCAACAATTTAGTAGAACAATTAGCTTCTAAATTATTTTCAAAAGCTAAACTCGGTATGAAATGAAACCAGATTGAGTTTTATAGCCTGGAGTTTCAAATAGCATCACTTTGTCAGTATCTACTATTTAGAATATCCCAAAGGTGCTTTTTCAAGAGGCAATTGGACTTTCTGCTTTTTCTTTGAAGAGGTTTTGCTTCTCATCCAAGAAGCTTCTTCAGCTCTAACTGGATGGTGGGGAATGGAAGGATTTATACTCCTTGTAAACAGCTGGTCATTTGTCTGGTCAGCTGTCTGCAAGGAGTATAAATCCTTCCATTCCCCACCATCCAATCAGAACTGAAGAAGCTTCTTGGATGAGAAGTGAAACTTTTTCAAAGAAAAGCCAGAAAGTCCAGTTTCCTCTTGAAAAAACACATTTGGGACAACCATGACCTGGATGATTGAGAATCTCCATAGCCATTTAACTACTTAGAATACTTTCAAAATATCGAAGACAATATTTTGTGAATTGAGAACTTTTTCTTTTACAATTTAGAGAGTGTTACACATTCACATGTGATTTGGTTTCTGTATTGGCAAAGGTTTGCAAACACTAATTGCAACATATTTTGTTCTGCTTCCATTAATCCAATCTTGGGACAAAACAACATGGTTAGAGAAGAAAAATAGAGAAAGAGTTCATATTATAAAAAAATCCCAGGCAATTTTTCTTTGTTTTTTACAACAATAAAAGACAAGTAAAATGGTGAGTGAAAACAAATGTAACTCTTAAACTAAAAAATAAATATATATCCAGGTACCAAAGAGCAAAATTTAATGAAAGCCAAAACTGTTAAATATGGATTCTTGTTGAGAAAATGTCAATGTCTTTAAGGGTTCCCCAATCCCCATTATTCTATATTTAAGAAAAGTGTAGTAAAAATACATATTACAAGTTAACATTTCCCAACTTCTTCAGCATCACTCTTTCTTTCCTCCCACCCTTTCATTGATCAAAAAACATTTTAAAGATGAGTTCTATTATCCATGTCCTATTATCTCAGCCTTTGTCCTTCCACAGATTCATTTAACTGGCTGGTACAATTGTTAGGCATGCCACTGATACTTTCTGCTTCAAAGACTTTGCATTTCTTTAAATTTCATGGGGCTTTTTGTTTTTTTTTGGACCACACACAAATAAATTCTTGCACTCTGCTTAAATTGGGTTTTAAGGTGGAAGATAGTTGCAAGAACTTTTAAAGTTCTTGAAACTACCAGAAATATCAGATTGTCCTTGACACTCAAAAGCTCTCTTAACAAAAAAAGCAGGTTCGGTTTAGTGAATTTGGTGCACCATAAATACATACACAGAATTAAACTCAAAATATAATCAAAAGCAGACGTAAAATAATAACAATAATAATACACCAAGAACAAGACCTTGAAGAGTTAATATCAGATGCTGAGATCTGAGTCCTGACAGATAGCTGGATGAAGTGATGGAGACAAAAGCTTTCCAGTGGCACTGACAGAAAGAAATAGCTATTAGGCATGCTGTGCCCTCATAAGGGGATCTGCATTTTCCATATTGCCAGTCTTATGAAAGTGCCATCTTAAGAGAAATGGAGGAAGTGGGTGGAACAACACAGTGTTGAATGGTAAAATCAGTTCCTAGAAATCAGACTTCAGTGGCTGCTTACACTTTATGTGATATATGAATGTTTGTTTTAGAGCCAGTTGTTAGTCACACTTGTGAAAAACGAAACAAACTCATGTCATATCAAACCCCACCACGAAGTCATTTTAGTCTATAGCCTGTGTTGAAGCCTTGACCATCTTTCCTCCATTCTATGCAAGTCTTGTGTTTTGCACATTGTTATCTGCAGGTCTTAGATATTACAAATCCCTGTGGAGTTTGCACTGGCACTTGGATAAAGGTTTAGCCCCTTGTAAAATCTGGTGTTGTGATCCAGTCATGAGCAAATGCATATATGAGGATGGGAAATGTAAGAAGAGCTGGGCCTCCTCTGGACTAATGATGAAGTGGAAGATTCTCTTCTTTAACACAGTTCTCTTCAATGAGAAGTGTTTTGCTCTGCTCAAGTAGTTTATGTTCATGTTGGAGCTTTTATTTCATTGGGTGTGCTAGCATGCACATGACTGGGAGAAATACTGTCGACAAGTCCATTTTCTAGTGCTTTGGACATCTCTGTAAATTTCAGAATTTCATTGGAAGCTTGGGTTTTGAATCAGAGACAAAGTTAGGAAGCAAGGTACCAGCCGGTATGTTTTGAGTGTTCCACTTTCATTCATGAAGATGGATGAGCTGAAAACCAACCTGTTGGCTTTTCTGTAGATGCGGTTGCTGGCCAAGATTTGATTCCTGAATCTGATTTTAGTTGAGTTTTTTTTAATGGAACCAGCTGCAAATATTGAGGAAGGCTGAATCTAGGTGAATGCATTTCCTTGTTGGCATCATTCAATGAAATCTAGATTTATTCTTATGTTATAGTAAATATACGCAGCTCAGTTACTCCATGGGATATTCTTTAGATGTATTCCAGAAAGACCAAAAAGCTGAATGTATTCAAAATAGTTTGGATATTTAACATTAATTGGCAATGCAGGGTTCTCTACTCAAAAATCGCCACAGGAAGGAACATTTACAGAAGTGCAAGAATGAGAAAATGGCTGTTATTTGCTTATTCATTTTTGAGAAGGCAGACAAGGAAATGTGCTTGTGTGTACACATGCACATGCATACAAACGTGTGTGTGCACACACACAAATAAACACATTTTCCTGGTTTTCCCCATGTATAGGAAATAGCCCTCGCCTTAGGTGGTTGGCTGGTAACCTGTCCAAGTGATAGCCTATTAAATGCAAATTCCAAGAACACCAATTAATTATTGGCAATTAGTGCCAATATAGGTGGCACTAACGTCTACATACTTGGGACCTTGCAAATTTGAATATGCAACGTAACTCTTAAAAAAAAAATCTTCCTATTTCTTTTTCCAAGTTAGGCTTTTCTTTCAACTGTCCTAGAAGTCCTTTTCCCATTTGACAGGGAAATGGAGAACTCCTTCAATACCCCTACTCAGGCTCATTGCAACAATTTTAACACATTTTGTTGCTCCAAGTGTCCTCCCCCTTTCACTGTTAGTAGTGTAGACATTTATGGTTTGCATCCCAAACTAAACCTGATTTAAAACTTTTGAGCAGGGCAGGGCTGATATTACCCTGACATCACGGGAATTAGTAATAAAAATATATATTGCACACACTAAGAACTTATTAACAACCAAGTTAAAAACAAAATGGCGCTGTCTTCCTCAGTGTTTCTGTAACCGTGTTCTCAGGGATATCTCCAAATTATGTTCAGTCCAGTTGCCCTCTCCTTATTGCAGTACAGGTTGTACTTTCTTCTGCCTGTGGATTTACTGCAAAATAAACAGACACATACAAACACACAAAGAAAACAAAGGAAATGGATCTGATTTCTTCTAGAAGATCCACTGCATTGTCCCTCTTCTTGAATGGTTTGCTTTTGGCCCCTTGCTGGGGTAAGGGAGACCCTGGTCTCATCCAGAAGATCCATCAAGGGACAATTATAATCCCGTTGCTCCCAGGGCCATCCCAGAGTTGTGACCCATGCATGGAATCTCCTGCATGGTTTGGGGAAAATCGTGGCTCACCACCCGTCCATTTTCTCCACTGCTGGTTCCTGCTGCAGATGCTCTGGGGAGGGTTGATGTCCGTATGGCTTCATTGATTGATTGCTGTGGGATCAAACAAAAACCCTTTTTAAGAGAAACAAGGGGGGGTCTCCCCCCTGTCCTTGGTAATGGCTGGACAACAATAATATACTGTACACAATTTCTTCAATTCCTCTTCCAGTACAGTTTTATTACTTCTATATTCAATTCATTTGCTTCTAATTTTATGTAATCCAGGAAATACTCCTGACTGCTACATATTTATCTCCAGCAAAATCAGCAGGTTGTGAAGCTTTGTTTATTATCACTAGGAAATGCTTTATGTATGCCAGGGCGTATGACAGACACAGAAGATACATACATCTATTCTTCAATGTCTTGAGCTTGGGTAGGCTTATTAATGAATCCTCTTATAGGATTGTAGTTTAGGTTATTTTAAGTCACAAATTAAGGGAAAATAGTTCATCTGGAAAGTGAATGAAAAATCACATTAATTAACTATTAACTACATTGTATTTAAAGTTTCTTTTGGTCAAGTCAAATGACTGCCAGCCCGATTGGAAATTTAGATTCCCATTTATTTTTAAATATAACATTAATATGGAGGTGGGGGGTTTGATTAAAATGAAAAATCAGTGGGCATAATAGGATATCATTATTTTCTCACCTCCTAATTCTTGCCTGAAAAAAGAATAAACAAATAACCCAATAAGTTTTCATTTCTCTTTCTTGGTCAGGTTCCAACACTGGAAGGAAGTGTTAGGAATTGGTATTCATAAATGGGGAATCAAGTTCTCTCCCTCCTGCCAATTCTTTTCTGAAAATGTTTTTTTCCAAGTTCTTGTTATCATAGGATAATATCAGGTTCCGCCCTTAATGAACAAATAATTACTTTGTTAATTGTTTAATACTGTTAATATCAACGGTCTATCTGAATCTTAAGTATGTCATCAGTTTTGACTATCATCCCAAAGGTGCTTTTTCAAAAGGCAATTGGACTTTTTTTGTTTTTGCTTGAAAATGTTTCACTTCTCATCCAGGAAGCTTCTTCAGTTCTTAAGCTTCTTGGATGAGAAGTGTAACATCTTCAAGAAAAAACAACGCAAGCCCAGTTGCCTTTTGAAAAAGCACTTTTGGGACAACCATGACTTGGATGATAGAATCTCCATAGACATTTTAACTATCATCTAAAGATTAAACTTTCATAACTTTCTGTTTTGCATGCATTGATGTGATGAAAAGGCTTGGTTATTGGCAGAAGAATAATAGCTAAAGATAAGATAAGAAACTAAATACAAATGGTGCAAGGAACAGATTAACTGATTTAACAAACCCTGAATTCAAAGGTTGAATTTGGGTTTGTTTATTGAGGATTAGATTCCATGCCTATGTTACGCAGAAAAATGCTTGGCTCAGATGTAGTCATTTAGGATTCTTTTCCTCAGCAAGATAGATACACGACATCTGAAAATATGTGGCATATCAGTTAGGAAGGTTGATTATTGCTGTTTACCAACCATTTGTAAAATTGGTTTGCACAAGTCTTATTTCATGATTAAGATCTTCATTTCTGTAAACTCAGTGGTGAAAGGAAAAGCTGCACTGAAAGAAAAGTGCCTTCATGCTATTCTTTAAAAATATGTATATTAAGAATCAAAGTGAACTTACTAAAATTGGTTGCAACAAGCAAGGCACAGGTTAAATATTCCATTATTTCCTAGACATCTGAACTGAAAGAGGGCAAAAGCTGTACTGCTCCTGATGCTTCTTACAAATATAAATAAATAACACATTTTTTCTGATTCCGCCAAGCAAGACTTTTTCTACATAGGAAAAGGAATTAATATTACATCTAAAATAAAGCTGTGCCTTGGACAGTAAAATGGGCAGCATATACATTTAATAAATAAATAAAATCTCCAAGCTTTTTGCAAGAAGTATTGTAATTAAGTATGCAGCTACTATAATTAGCTGGTTTTGAGATACTCAAATCAAGACTATGTACGCTTCATATGACTGTGTAAGAGTAGCCGGAGCAAGTTTAGGTATATAACCATCTTGCAGTTGCATAAGAAGGATAAGGCTTCTTAAGATTATCTAACTGAGCTATACATATCAGAAAAAAACCCCCACATATCTGAAATTTGTAAACTTTTCCTGAGCAGATTCTTCTTTGGACATTCTCAGTATCACGGAGCAACTAAAAGCAACTTGTACTATGGGAAAAGACAGTATTGTATTGACCGACTGCATGCTTTGAAAATAAATAGTCCCTAGTTTATTCTCTGGCATTTGAAAATTGGCATTGGGACAGAATCTTCTCGGAACCCCAAAAAGTTATTTCTAATCAGTGTGGACAATCGCAGCTCAAAAGGTACCAAGCTGGAATAAAGCAGTTTTCTCTCTTTTGTAGATCTCAAACTCTGTTCTTAACTAATCAAGGATGGACTCTGAAAATGTTTTCCAAGGCCAGCCCAATTAGCCTAGATCACTTCCATTTTACTAAAAAAATGTGAGGCAATTTACTAACTGTTGTGATTGATGAGGACCTGTTGAAATAAGGATGCCTGTAGAATCACTATCAAATTAAAAATATTACTCCCTAGCTCTTGACAATCTTGGCCACATGTCATTTTCAGTAAACTGCCTCACTCAGCTGAACACTTAACAGATCAGTCAGATAAAAGTCAGCGCTGTCCCTAAAATATTGACTTTCTATCCTAATCACCATCCCGGTTGGATCCATTTCTAAAAGCATATTAGGAGGCTGGCTGGTATCCTAAAGAAGGTGTGAAAGGCCTGTGAATGTGTTGCCACCTTCATCCGTTTTGATTCACTTCTGGACTTGTAACAAAACTCGATTAAGGCAACCAGCATGGCTAGTCCAAGACCACCGATGAGGATGTAGAAAACCCCGGCCACGTTGCTGAGACTCAGAGCGCTTGTTTTGTCCTACAAGAGAAAGGAAAAGGAAGAAGGGATGGGGAGGAAGGAATAAAGTTTGTGTTTATCTTGACAAACACAAAAGGAATGTTTAACCTGATAACACTGGGGAGTCACCACTTTTAAAAACACATAGGATATCTCAATTTCCTTTGGCTTTTACTAATAGCCTTACCCCACCAAACACACAAAGTTGATTAAAGGTTTCAGTGCGTTTGCAACCTTTGGAAATTATTAAGTCTAAGACATCTGGAATTATCACCCTTAACTGCTTGATCACCTTTTGCCAAGATATTGTTCCCCAATCATGCTGAACTGTGATCATTCAGACTATCTGGACATGATGAGAATTGCACTCCCATGTATCTAATGGGCACTAAGATTGGGGGAAACTAACATATGTTGCTTCAATTATTGATAAAAAGATAGCTACTCTGAGCTAATATTTACTAGTTTCCACTTTCCCTCTCCTAAAATAATTCTCTCTCTTAGAAATGCCTCTTCTTCTCTTCTTTGACTATTTCCCCCGCAATTTCTGTTGCTAAGCAACAAATCAAAACTGCTTGTTTTAATCCTAACATGTTCCTTGCCTTTTGTTCAATATTCTATTGCTGTGACACTAAGAGGTTCTGCCTTCGTTGCCTCTGTCTTTAATAGAGAAATGATTTTGCATGTATGTTATGGTGCATTTTAAAACTCAATGTTTTATTGATAATGGGAATTGTTAACCACCAATTAAACACTTTTGTTAGAAGCATGTTTTAAACATCTTTTCTCTCCATAATAACTTTGTAAGCTGGTTCTCTTCTTGTTATTATATGCATAAAAGAGAGATTATTTTGTTGGGATTTACCTGAAAAACTAACAAAAAGTGCTTAAGCAGACCAAAAACAAAGTTATAAATTTTTGAAGTCACAGAAACATTCCTATAAGGCGCTTTCAGAGTTAAAAAATAGCACAAAAAGATTTAACATATGTGCATGTTTCTCAGAGAAACGCAGGTATTTCCAACTATTTCTGAATTCTCAGCAATACAGTGTTGAGATCTTTCACATATATTTCTGGTAAAAAGTGACTTGGTTATGCCTAGCTTACAATATTTATATTATGATTATTTTTTCTAGATATGTTCATGTTTAACCAACTTTCATCAGAACTTTATAATTTTGAGATAGACATAAGGAACTCCAGTACAAAACAAGCTCACGATAGGTGGCTTCAATAAACTATGTTGTTGAGCTATTAACCTAGGTACTATTGCATTGTTAATTGCTTTTCAGAAATTAAGAATCTGCATAACAGCACATTTCCAGCAAGGAAACTGGGTTTCCTGAGTTTCCTTGAATCCTTAGCAAAAGAAGTTTTAAATGCAAATTTCAGGACTTAAAAACATTATTTTTTCCCCTGAGTAAGCCAAAAAGGAGTGATTGGAAAGTTGATTTTGGAAACTTACAAATGGACTAAGGGTGCAATGATTTTGAAATAAGATACTGAAATTAATGATAGGAAACCTTCCTGTGGGTAAATGCTGCTATTTTAAATGTTATAGAATAGGGTTTTCTCCTTTTTCTTTTTTTAGTATTAGTTTTTACTGTTTGTTAAAAACTTTAATAAAATAATTTTAAAATAAACTTACTTTTAAGAATTAGATTAGCATTCATTTTATATTTACATTAAACATACACACACGGATGCACATTGACAAGGGAAAATGTGATGTATGAATGAGACTTTCAAAATTAGTTGTGTTTACATTTCATTCAAATCTCAGGGTTTTTTTTAGGTTTTTAAAGTCTGAGAGGTAGTAGTTTAGTTGAATAGAAGTGTTGTAACCCTTTCAATGGGATTGTGTGGTGTCAGTGAGACATTATCACAAAATGTTAATATATGTTGTATTTAAATAGATTTAAATCAATCTTAATTTAAACTGCAGAAAGATTCAGACTTGAACAAGACTCATTTTTAGAGAGCATGTGCCTGTTAATCCCCAATCTCACAATACTCCACAAAACAGGGAGGAAATAGCATGCAAAATAGGATTCCCAAGGCTGGCTGAAGCTTGCCTGGAAAAAGATACTGAGTCAGAGGCAAAGAGATAATGCCACAATGTAGATTTATATTAGAAAAGTACTTCTGATGCTTCCTGTAGCTTTTTGGCTCTCACATTTTCTCTGATAGGAGGATGTAATTTCTAATTGCAGCAAGATTCTTTGGAGAGTGATGATTGTCTTGCTGTCACTGGTCTTTCCTGGTTGGAAATTAGCACCAGGGTCACAAGCACACACTGCAGAGGCAAGGAAGTAATTTCTGCCTGCTGTGGCTTGCTTTACCTTCCTGACTCTATAAGGCCTTACTTGCTGTTTCGATCCCAACCCCTGATTTAATAGCATTAATAACAACAGTGCACAAGGAAAAGCACCAATCCCACACAATAATGCCCAAGAGAATCAAAACCCTGTTGCGGAGCAGCACAACTCTGCCATTTGTGCTTTGTGACAGATGCCTTCCCAAGGAGCTTGCCATCATGAAGCCAGCTTATTAGTGGGAGTGTAAATGTCGCAGCTTGTCTCCTGCAGAGGGAGAGTGACATCGGAGGGAAGAGGAAGACTGGCAGGTAAAAAGTAAGCAGCCAACCCAGACTTTGAGAAATACACCAGCATCGTTGCCATGGTGACTGGCTTGCTTGCTTGCTTCTCTTCAGTCAGGGGCAGCTTATCCATCATTTTATTCTTGGGAGTCTTATGACAAATAGTCCTTCAGGCTCAGGTTTCCTGGGTCTCCTTTTCACCTTTTGCATCAGTGAGAACAAGACCAAGGCATTTAACATTGCTCGTTGATAAAGACATAGATATTGAATGCTTGTGGCCAATGCCCTGGATCTACCCTGAGCAGTGTGCCATGGAAAGCTGTTGTTTTTAGGTACTTTTATTTGTGATTCACCAACTGTTTATTCCTTTGTATCCCAAGCGATTTCTTCTGGATCAATGTTTGAAAAAGCCATTTCTCAAAAGTGCCCATTTCTACAGTATGTGTAGAAGTAACCATATTACACTGATAAAGCAAGAGATGTGATAATAAAACTTCTAATTGCCTTTTTGGAAGATGGGTACATCAACGGGATATTTATACCTGTATGGGGCATTATATCAGAACAGTAATAACATTTAATGTGAAAAAGAAATACACAAAGGGAAGACAGACATGATGTAACTAAAGTATGAATAACTATGAGCTCCATCAGATGAATCTACTCTCCTGGGAGTAGCTGCTAACTGCTCTTCAAGGACCTCTAAACTGTAAACTAATTCTATCTTGTGGATTGTAACCTCATTCAGAACTCAAAACCCATGGTACTAGAAAAATCAGAAACACCCAGCCATTCTGTCTTGTCAGTACTGAGTTTAAGCCTGTTTCCATCCATCCAGACTTCAACATCATCCTGGGACAAGAATTTAACAGTATGCTTTGAGAGGTCAGTGTACTGATGATACCTGTTCATAAATGGCCTTGCCAGTGGCTTCATGTTCTTAAACAGGAGGGATGAGAGTATCAAGTCCTGTGGGACCTCCCAAGTCAGGGGCCTGCCTTGACCTCTCTTCCCCTATCTCCTAAAACAGAATTTAAGATCCTTTAAAACATAAGTTTATAGTCATAGATTTGGCGAGAGTAAGCTCTTGATGCTCAGTTAAGGAGAATCCTTTAGAGAGCAAGTTGATTTCCTCTGGGCATGCTGTACTAGCAATGCGGGCAAGAAGTCTACTCCTGTGAAATGCTGAATGATGGTGTCAAGCACTGTATAGTACACTACTTGTTATACTAGTGTGAAACTGGACTGACAGGCAATAGAAGAAATAAATTATATATTAAAGCTAGGAACAAATAGACTTTTGAAATTCTCTATGCTATTTATGTGCCGAGAAATTGGATGGATAATTTCTTTCACGTTCTCTAGAAGAAAGATTCATTCTCCAATTTCTCAAAGGCAGAATTCCTCCTTAGTAGGAACAGTACCATAACTACTGCAAAACAAACTGACAATCAAAGGTGTTGAGTCCTCGCACTTATGATGAAGTCCTCGCACTTACGACGCTCGTCCCTGATAGGCCAAAACGCATGGACTTGCCGGCGGGAGAATACCGCCTTCCCATTGGTTACTTAGTTTGACAGCTACAGTATAAATAGCTGTCAAACGCCAAAGTTGTTGCTCTGTTTCTCACAAGCTTCTACAGCTGTTGTTAGCAATAAAGAGTTCCTGTTTGATCTTAACCTAGTCTCGCCTCAGTTAATGGACCCCGGGTCGCCCTACAGAGCAAAAGGAAAGGCTTTTGTTGGGATTTAATTGTGATACAGGAAGATGGGGAAGCTGCAGATGAAAGACAAGACATTCACAGACATGCAGACAGACACATATATTTTGGTTTCCTTATCACTTATAGTATTAGAATATGCATTTTATAATGTTTTTTAAAAATATCTTTTCCTTTGCAATGTTTCTAAAGCATTTTCTCTTTGATCAAATGACATGGCAACTCGTAGGGGGGAAAAATGTACCTGACGGTATTTATATACTATGAAGCTAATGCACTTGTATAGGTAATCCAGGTCTAGAAGGCATCTGACTGGGTTTTGAACACAGTCATAGATTTTAAAACAGATACAGGCAGAAGGGCAAGTAGCATGAATTACCTTATTTAACATACAGGGCAAACAATAGGAATGGAAAGGAAATTCTATTCAAGGTGGAAGGTGGAACTAGAGTAAAAGAAGTCAGCTGGGAAAAAGAAAGTGGGAATACTCTTTTGTATATAGACATTTAATGGTCAGCCTGGAATTAATCTCATCATTTGGGAGAAAACAGCTAACAAAGAAATTGATAAAACAGAATGAGAAGCACAAAATCTGTGTCTCCCTACATCAAAGCTCTTTCACTGAAGGTTTCTTTCATTTTTTTGATTGCAGCTTGACCCAGTTTGGGGCTCTAGGGATTAGCTGAATGTCAGAAAAAACGACAAGGAAAACTTATAGCTCTTAATGCAACTTAATATTCATATCTTTGTAATTATAATATTGAACTCTTGTAGTTTTAAATATTTTAATAAGTTGCCTATTTCAGTATTAATATTTGTTTATGGATGGTTAAACTTTGCCTTCATTATATTTTATGTTGAATATCTGTTGTCTAGTGTTGGGGTAGGGGAGGGAGGGATCTACTACACAAATCATGGAGTAGAATTTAGCAAAATACACATTGTTTAAAGTTGCAATATAGGTCAGTTGCCGGGACCAGAGATTTAGGCTTTTGGACTCACGTTAGAGCTTATCCTTAGGGAACTTATCTCTACAGGAATGCATACTTTGGGTTATTCTATGCATCATATTTATGTGGTGCCTTCCTATTGGTTTATTGATGTATTGATGGTGATTGGCTGTTTTTTTCTTGTGCTACCAAGTCCTCAGCTCCTAAATACTGATCCAGATTGAATCTTGCAACATTATCTTGGGACATGTATATTTTCCTTCATTCATTGTTTAAAGTTTTCTTCCTTTTGGAGATGCCATTACAAGAGCTATGTTTCCAACCATTATTGTTTTCTGCATTATCTTTCCATTCTTTAAATTTTCAATTTTATTTCATAGTGACTTTCCTGTTTATTTCCATGGTTAACTATTGGTGGAATAAAAATAAAAAACGGAAGCAGTCCCTGAAGTAGATGGAAAGTGCATTGCATACATGGTGGGTGAACCATGTATCATGTTAAGTTGTAAAAAGAAAAATAATAGTATATTTTCATTCCCTTCAAGAAATTAAAAATGGGGTAAACTGGATGTCCACTGGTATATCACCATAAGTGATACGTTTTTCCATGAGTGTTTATTAAGATTATCTTATACTTGTTTATTAGTCTTGTACCCATTTGAAGTTGGATTAACTTCTGAACAGAGATGATGAATATGATAATATCACAAAGGAAACACTGTAGATTATTTTTAGAACTGATCTGATCCTGATTTAGTTCTTCAAAAAAGAACTAATCTTTTGATGTATCTTGCCTTTCTGATGGGTAGTTTATTGCTCTTCAAATTACTTTAAAAGTCAGAAAATACACTCTATTGCTTTCCTTTAACTCATTTGTTTTCCTAAAATGTGAGTTCTATCTACAATACTATATTACTTTCATTCATCACTATCCAAATCCAAAGAAATATTTATACTCATTGTCACAGAGCACTGGGCATCCAAGATCTTTGTAATGTTTTAAAAATTAGATTCTCCAAACCAAGACAATTTTTCTGTTTATTTTTTCTTTTTCTTTTCTTATTCTAGCTATGAATGCCTGAATCATTCTAAATCTCATTAATGAAAGTGCCAAATGAATTCATATATTTTTCTATTGTGCCTACACTGAGAAGGGTTTCAAATCTGAAAACTTTTCAATTGTTGTACAAATTACAAATGTACTTTCCACATGAACTACAAAATTAATCTGATATTACCCTTTAAATTCAAGCAATACTAATGTACTGGTATTATTTTCAACACAATTTATGTACATTTTAACACAATTTTCCATAGTATAGTTTTTAATTTAATCATGACCAAGCTCTAAAATTATGGAACTTTCTTTAAAAAATACATTTATCCTAATTAGCTTCTC